ATATCCAACTCCATCGCAAGTACTAACCTTGTGTACCAAAACACTGTCATATGAAAGTAAAAATTTTGATAGCGATACTGGAGAAGATGATTTAATATGAAACTATTACATAAAACATGTTATATTTGTATAATTAAATCAACTAACCATTCACTAAGACTATATATCAGGGTAAATTAAATATGTATCAGGTTTAAATAGCAAATATTTGATATACAAACCAACCCTCACTTTAATACAAAATCCATAACTACTTTTTTAGTTACATATCAATACTTTTGCTATATATATATATATACGTACTATAGTACTATGTTTGTATGATTAATTGATCTACATATAGTACAATTTGCAATAACCTGTTTTATAAAATAAAATCGGTTGCTACTTGATCTAATTGAAGAGAGAAAATAAGCAAATTTACCATGATAACTAGCTTTCAACCATTACTAATTTACAACTATAATTTTAGTCGATTATAAAGCTAATTTACAACTGTAATTCTAGTCGATTATAAAGTTGTATATATGATAGTTATTAATATAATCAAATCACATTAATCATATTGATAATGTATATTTGGTCACAAAACACAATTACGAAACTATTTACAATTACTTTCAAAATATCAGATCAAATATTCTAGTCTTCCGAACTGGCCATAGTAAAGATTTCATTAAATTATAGCTTACTTATATAAAAAAAATATTCTTGTAATTGTTTTTTATATTTAGTATTAATTCACACCACCTAATTAACTAATATACATACTTAGATCAATAAATCTGATTGTTTGCATTTAATAAAATAAAAAATGAACATAATAAAAATTAATTATATCACTATAAAGCAAATTAAGATCTAATAATTTGCATATAAGTAAAACTTACTAAAATTTATCTTCAAACCACCAACTATTCTACACAATCTGTTCTAGCTTCTGATTCAGAATCACAGAAGCTTACCCATTCATTTTTATCATTAGTATCCCGGTCTGATTTATTTACCTCCATAAATTCATTATTATATATTTCTTTTTTATAACCATAACCACCACATAATTCACAAACAGTTATCAAATCACTAACCCTATTTTTATATTTGGCATGCTACCGATGATTATGATCTTTACCATCATATTCACTACATGTATTAGTTTTAGGATCATGTATACCTTTTGGTCATTTTCTCGGATTTTTTGATTGTTGATTTTCTAATGATGATTTAAGACATATAGATTTTAGTGGTTGACCTTTTCTAGTTTTTTTAATAGGGTTAAAAACTATAATAAAAGGCCTTTTAGGAATAGTACTTGATTCAGAATGTTCTTCAAAAATATTTGTTT